TTCATCTGTTGTTTTAATCTCATGTTTGACTTATTTGGTAAATGTTAATTTTTTGTTTGGCTTGTGGAAAATTTTGGGAAAATATTTAATTACATGTTTTAAAGCATCAAATTCCTCTGAGTTTAAATGATTAATACGTAGTGACTTTATAAGGTCATTTGCATATTCATCATTTTATAATGAAGTAATTTTTTTCTATATTAAATATGTCAAACTGTTCATCATCATAAGGTAAACTTATTTTTGCCAAGTTATTAATGTTATATGAGACAATAATAGGCTTATTCATTAGGTTGTGTACTTCTAAAGCTACCATCTCATTCATGACTGTTGTTATTGTGGAGGGAATATAATATGTTTTATTTTTTATTGGAGGCGTAAGAATTTCAACGCCATCAGCTATATTCGTGTTGAAATAACATATTTGAATTGAGTTGATTAGACTCTCAAAATTTTGATTTTCGAAATCTGTTCTATATTGAAATGGAATTGTTGTTTTATTATTGGAAAAAAGCATATCAGGAAAATCTATATTTAAATTATTTTCTTGTAATGCTTTGATTCCAATAATTCCATCTATTTTGATGGAATTCTGGTAAAATTGGGACATTAATTTTTCCATGGGCTTTTCTTGTACCCATACAAGCTGTTAATTTGGTTCGTGAATTAATTATAGAATTTGAAAAATATTCTTCTGCGATTGAGCGTCTTATTAAAGAAGCATGACTTCCTGTGTCAATTTATAATTTACACGGTGGATAGTCTATTTGAATAAAAGGTAGTTGGTTGATTTGATAAGTATTTAAAGTTAATGCTGACTCATTGCATCTAAGGCTGGTAACTGAAAATTTTCGTCTTCAATTTCGACTTAATTTTCTTCAAAATTTGTCTCTTCATAATAATTTTGATTTTGTTCTGAATTTTCGTCATTTTCGAAATTCTTGTCAGGGTTAGGTTATTCGATTTCAAAGATATTATCAATTAATCTCTCCGATTGCATATCTTGAAGGACCTGCGTTTGGGTCAGGTTTGAAATAGTTATTGGGTCTGTATTGATGTTGCTTTTGTGCTCGTGGTTTCACTGAAACTCCGCACATAGGTGTCGGTTTCGGAAATTGTTGATTCGTGTTTTTTCGAAAGGCATTATTATAATTATTTTTGCCAAAAGTTCCTAAACTAGTAGGAAATTTTGTTGGTACATAGTCCTTTTTAGGTGTTATATTGATAGGTTGGTTGGGATGGAAACTGTTGTTTTTGTGGTACATGAGGTGTTTTTGTGTATGTTGAGGTTTTTGTTGAGTAAAGGTTTGTTTTGAACAAAATTGCGTGTTTTAATTTTTTAAATTTGAAAAATTTTGATTTTGATTTTGATTAGTGGAATGTATAATTCCTCTACTAAATTTCATGTGGTTTTCAGCTAGCTGGTAATTTAACACAAATTTATTAGCTGCATCCAACGTCTGTGGATTTTGAACCATTAAAATTGTCATTGATTCGGTTGGCGAATTAATGACTATATAGATTTTGAATAGCAATAATTTCATTTTGTTCAATCAAGACATTTGCAAGTAACGTTAAATTTCGGTCGCACATGATTTTAGATGTAATTCCTTGAACAAAACCTTTAAGTTTATCCAAATACTCAGTAATTGTTTCTTTATTAGTTTTAGTGGTACCTATACATAAGCTCTTGTACCAAATTCTGTCTAGAATAATGATCACCATATTTAATTCTTAAAGCTTCTCTTATATCGGTCCATGTTTGTAAATCAGGACGTGCCATAGGGACATTTCCCGCGTCAATTATTAATTTTGATTTTATGGCGGTCACCACATATTCTTACTGGGCATTTTCCCCAGTGTAATAGGTTTGATGAAACTCATTGATGTTTCTTATGAAATATTCTAAATATTAGCTTTCGACACTGAAAGGTTTGATAAATTGGACAATTGATTTTAAATTTTCACCCATTATTATTGTTGGTCTTTGATTTTGATTACTTCTTGAATTAGAATTATACAGATGAGTTAAATTAAATTGAGTTAGGAGATTCTCGATTTCTTCCAATCCAAATTTCACTTTCCCGAAGAATTCACTTTTTCGAACTTCCCTCAGTCTTTTGAAATTTTCGCGGCGGATTACGACTGTATCGACTCTCCCGAAACTTAGGCATTCTGAGTATCCTACCGACTGCGCTAATTAAATTTTCGATTCAGAAACTTTTATTTTATTAATTAAAATACAGAGATAATAAAAAAAAAATATGTGGATCAAGTTGCTACAGCAAAAGCTTGAAAACAAATGAACGTTGCTTATGGGACTGCGCTGGCTTAAATAAGAATTTAATGCCGATATAGCAACTTGATGTTTACTTTACAACAATGTGTTTAAAAAGTCATAGAGGAAAGAGGTAAGCTCATTAAAGCATATAAAAAATGGATAATTGAATATTAAATAGTGTGGCAATTGACGTGTCTCGTAATACCTGGTGTGCGCGCGCAACTCATGGGTTGCAGGTAAGCGTCCAATGAGAATCAAGTTTGTTACAGGCTTGCGTCATATTCGTATTCAGGGACGAGTTCAGAATTAATCGTTCCTTCTTTCGTTGTAACGTGTAATTCGACAAAGAGCAAACTAATACTTTACGTATTACTTGAACTTACCGCAGTGTCGTTTAAGGTTATGTTAGATTATAATTGACATATATCTTTGCAATTTCATTGTGCGATGTTGCCGGATGAAACATTTATCAAAATAAAAGTGCAAACGATGTTAACATATACTTTCAAGCTCTTCTTTTGCCTGATTTAAGGCGTTGTAAAACACTTGACAATATATCTATTCTTTAAAGTTAAAATGTTCGACTTGTATTGTCTACATTTGTTCTGCAACAATACAATCTGGCTACACTGCAGCCACGAGTTGCGCGCGCATGTAATTTTTTATTACTTTCTAACTTGTATTTATTACAATTAAGCTATCTTTTTCTATCTATGCGAGACGCGTCAATTGGTAAATATAACTTACATACAATTTGGATATGATATTGTATCCTAAAAAATCTAGCCCATGTAATTATTGTTTTCCTGTACACACACATGCTTCGATAATAAGTATATTCAGCAACGTTATCAGTTACCTGACATCTGGGTTTGTCATAAAACGTTGGTATTCAGAAGATTATCCTTGACTCTGAATAATAATAATCTCATTTGGTACAGCTACAGATTAGTATAAAGTTTAGTGTTTATCTAGGAAATCATAAATTTTGCCTATACGAATATTTGTCAATTTCCGGTTACAGCCAAATAATCTTGAACTATTAAATTCGATACTTTTTTGGCTTTTGAGTGATTTTATCCTCGAACAGATTAGGTCGTTCCCAGAAACTCCATATTGTAAATCCCATTAGGGTCACATTTGAACTATCTATAGAAAAAACAAAACTGTTTCCCACGAAAGATGAACTTGAACCAAGACTATAAATTTGCTTTTGATTTTGTTACACGATCAGTCGAAATCAACATGCTTGACGAAGATGACGTTTGTGCCGCACATATAGGTATTATTATCGCAACTAAAAAAAAAAAGAAAAATTTCAGAAGATTTTGAGTTCGACCAAGTTTTCAAATTAGAACTAGATACAACGCTAGTAATTTTCTGTTCTTATAGTTTTTGGTTTTAGAATGCCATAAATTGGGTTTCAGTTTGTATGCGTCAATAAAGGCTATGACTTTATCTTGTTTCCATTCTATTTCCCCAGCGAAAACACACTGGTACGATGTCGACAAGGCAAGACGTCAATGAGTACTAATAGTTTGTCGAATGCCGAACGTCGAAAACACGTCTACACACTAAAATCGATCGACTGTTTCATGTTCGAGGCGATGGAAAACAAATCGACATGTCGATGAACAGAGTCGATCGACAGTGTCGACTCGGTGAGGACGCAGCTTTAGTTTGACGTCGGACTTCCTATTAGAAATATATATTCCAAAAGTGATAAATTTACATTTTAATAATGAATGCTGAGATGAAAATAGGCATCTGTCATAACAACAACCATAACAATAACAAGTCATCCAAACAATTGGCTGAAAATGTTTCATTATCCGAATTTGTACAAGCAAATTTGATGTTAAAACATTGGTAATGCATATATTACCATAGTGGCAAGTAATCTGATATTTTACTGCCACAATATTCTCTTAGCGCACAATGTATCTAAATTTAATTGGAATGGAGCATATTATATTGGGAACATTTTAGAGTATCAGTTATATCAAAGTTAGTTTATGAACCCTTATACAAGATTTGATAAATGAAATGGATGTAATTCGAAAAGCGTATTGCGTGTACCAGCATAAATTGCTTGAATGAACAAAGATTAAATCCTATGTAATCTCGTTGCAATATGTAATAAATTTTAGACATGTAATAGTTATTTACCTAACAAATGCGGAAAGTGATACTTTACCGCACGCAACGGCAGCTGACCGAACGACGCGAAGCGGAGTTCGGTCAAGCCGTTAAGGGCGGTAGAGGCACTTTCCGCATGTGTTAGGTACAAAATTTTACCTATGAGCATCTAGAACTCCAAAAAAGGCATTGATAAAATTAATTATTGAATCAGATTAATTAATGAAATTAGATAAAATTTAGAAATGATCAAAAATCCATTTTCTGAAAAAGAGAGGATTTTTGATTATAAATATCAAATTCTACTTTACCGCACACTATGCGGTAAAGTGCACTTTACCGCACACTTTGTATTCTACTTTACCGCATACTATGCTGTAAAGTTGACTTTACCGCACACTATGCGGTAAAGTGATACTTTCCATTTGCAAATACGTGCGGTAAAGTGCACTTTACCGCACGCTCGTAGGTAAACATAATATACTCGTTTTATTTTTTTATTTTTTTCTTTTTCTAGCGACTGGTACTACGACGCCCTTATCCACGCCTACTTCAACAGTAAACACGAGCCCTTTTTCAGCAGCAGGAACTGAAAATGCTAGAAAAAGTAATTGGCAAGTAATCGAGCATTTTGGTTCCAAAGACAAAGGCAGTTTATCTTCAAGTCTCATTGCGGTAAGAATGATTTTGAGCCTCATATCGATCTACTTTTCCCCCTAGCCTCAACGAAACGCTTTTAGGATTCCATAACGCTTCAAACGGCCCACAAAAAAGTTTCCATATATTTGTTTCAGTCGATTTACATACCAGCTAGCTTATTCAGGCACCTGAAAGGCCTTTTAAATTTTTGAATGAAAACAAATATATTATAACAAAACTTTATATCTACGGTAATGTCTCGATTATTCTTCAATAATTAGGTATCTCTGGTAACGCCAGTCCATAAAAATTCGTCGGCTAGGTTAATCCTTCAAGGCCGAACTCGTCGAATATTTCAGTCAGTGCTGGGGTCAATTAATAAACCCGACGGGTTTAAAATGCTATATCTATCTATTTCATAACAATTTGTAAAGATTCTTTAAAATTTAAACTAGGCCAAACCCCGGAGGGTCGTTGTACGGATAATGTTATGCAAAAATCGCGTGCCTTGGAGGCAATTTTTGCTTGTGATAGAGTTAAATTGCTCTATTCTGATAGCAGAGCGGGCAGACTGCTGTGGAAACTATACATCATGATAGAACCGGCGTGCTCTAAAAACGTACAATTTGGACTCGCGTTCTCATGTTTTGTTGCATTTTTGAATTTTTTGTGGGGTATATTGTGCCTTGCAGATTTAATTTAAAACTACAGGCTTATCGATTCATTTTAATACATAATAATATTTCGCTTTTTGAAGATTTAGGTATTGAGACTAGAATTCCAATCTAAGCGATTAAGAACTATTTGCTTTCGAAGTCAAAATTTGTTAATTGGAAAAAATCGAAAATAAAGTGGCTCACAAGTTCTTTTCCGTGGATGAAAGTTATTTTGCAAATTAAAGGCAAATATTGAGGCTACGATAAGCACAAGAAGCCTCTTTCCTCATCCAGTTTGAGCATGCAGCCTTCTTTCATGAAAGTTTTCTAGAAAATCTGGAACATTATATTAGTTTCTGCCTGTCTATGTATTTTCCATACCGTTTCCAGTAAATTCCAAGTTTTAATTATTATGTTAACAATTAATTATTCGATGTATGTCTTGTTTTAATTTTTTTCTTCTCGAAAAGCGTTGTCATAAATATGAATTTCTAGATAATGCTAACAGAAATAATGTCGAAAAGACTAAGAGTTTAGTGTTGTTTAACGAATCGTAAATTCTCTATCTTCTTTCAGCCAATTTCGGGGGATTATGAAATTATAAAGGTCGTGTATCCTCTTTCCCAAAAGTGCGATTATTTTATAAAACACGTTTCGTTTGATCCATTAGGGGTAACCCGAGGGGTGATCTTTTTCTCAATAATAAACTTGAGAAAAATTTGCTCGTCATAAATAAAAAAAAACAAATCCTCTTTTCCTCTTTCAAATCAAATTCGAGTAACTTTATATGCAGCGTTATACTTCATCATGGAAATTTAATGGAAATAAATTCAATTTGATTTATACACTTTCCGTTGTTAGCAAACAAATATTTTGCGTTTTTTGAAGATGCCTCGTTTTTACCAAGATTTGCTTTATAAATTTTTACCATTTGTTATTCCAGGTTGGCAGTATTACTAGGTCATCGCCTAGTCATAGAGAAAATGGATCGGCTACAAATTCTCCGGATCCGGAGAGTCGCGAAGTCGAACTCTTGGTATCTGGGACGTCACGGAAAGAAATGCCCGGATTTTTCCGGAAATTGGTTCGACTGCTGAGGAAACTGTGTAGTACTCATCAATTTAAAAATGAACAGGTACTTTATCTTAAGTTCTTGCTAGTTAAGCTATTAAAATCCACCATATAAAATTACTTTACTTTAGTGGATAATAGATAACGCTTCCTAGATAGCAATCCCCTCATGATGAAGGAAGTGGATCAGCTCAACTAATTTGCCGTTGAGGATATTAGCGTTTCACTGAACGATTCAGAATATTGCTCAGCTGAAACTTTCTTATGTCAGTGCAAAAGAACTGGCGATTAGTGTTTAACAACTCCGCTTCATCATTGCATTTCAAGCATGCCCATGTAGTGGTCTAATGCTCACATTACGCCGTTCATATTCACTAGCGAATCTAGGCGAGCAAATTTAGAATGAAGTGTCGAAAATGTTTCACCTAAACTGGTAGCGGTTTGGTGGTTTTGGCGTTGTACTATTTCTCGGCAGCGCACTAGGTTTGCGGTATCACTCACGCCGCTTTCGCGCAACAATCCCCGGGGAAAGTTTTGGTCATAGTTTGTGAATGGTTGTTGTTGTTGCTGTCTTGGAGGTTGCCTCTGAAGTTGACTTGCCTGGACCGCTCTCCGGTCCCAGGCTGAAATTTTGGGGCGTGGCGCATCAACGTAAACAGGTCTGGGAGCATTCCTCTCGTCCAGCATCTGCTTTTGTAGCATGTGAAATGCTACTGTTATTAACTGTTTTTTATTCTTTCAAATATTGTTATTACATTATTATTACCTTTAATTAATGTTGACAGTCTGGTGACTGGCATTAAAAAAAAGAAGATTTCTATCGAAAATAATATTAGCAATTATTAAACTAGAGGGCACGATTTTCATTTACATTTGAAGTACCAGTTTAGTACCAACGCTTTCCGTTGGCTATTTCTTGAAAGAAAGCTCTGCCTGTAGAGTTTGTCCGTTTCTTCGTCCGTTTTTAATCTTGCCGTTGCCCTGAAAGGTCGACTGTGGCCGGGGGGCAGCAATCTTCCTCAACTGTGATTACTCTTCTCGTGAAGAAAAATACCTTATCAGCCATCAGGTATCAGTTTGGCGAAATGAAGTTGCGCAAGGCAAAGTTCCGTTGATTACCGAAAAAATTTGAATCAAAAGTTTCGTGATAACCGTTTTATTCAAGTTTGAATTTTGAACCCCCTCGTGGTAAGTTCTTTTCAATTTTTTTAAGTAATGGTTGTTCCTGGAATGTCTCTATTGCTTAGGGTTTTCCGAGGAGCTGTTTTTCCGAGAAGCTGTTTTTACCGGGGAACCATTTTTTCCGAGGAGCCGTTTCTCTCAAGGGATCCATTTTCAACAGGCCCACTTTTCTGGACATAGAGCTCTCGAAGAGATTTCCTGGAGGAATAAAGTCCGTCATTTGTCGATACGTGTACCCTCACATTTGACGAAGAAAACTGAACTTCTAGCCTTGATTCCAAGCTAGTATCTACAACTTCCTTGTGCAACTTCTCTCGTCAAGAGACTAAAAATGGATGGCTACCGACTACCGTACTGTACCTTTTTGTTCGAATTGAGGCTTTATATAGAGTTCCATTATAACTTTTTTTATGAAATCTATTATATGATCAATTACCAGAGTTGATTGAATTTTCACCGACATTACATTTAAATATTTAAAATTTCAATTTCATTCATTATATTCTTGACAACGAAGTGAACTTCAAATAATTATTTCCGATTTTTGATTTATCGAATTTACTATAGATTTTATCTATACTTAATTTTAGTACCGCTATATTTAAAGAATGTACTTATATATTATCAATGATAATCATTCAGTAATTTGAACAGAAGTCAAGGTTGGACAGCATGCTCTAAATTTAAAATTATTGAGTAGGTACCTACATCGTCACAGATTAATCAATTTTTAACCCTGAGTCCTATAACTTATATATTTGAGGATTTCTATTATATCTCCTGACCATTTTACCCAACTTTCGATTTCATACAGGTGCAAGTTGATTTTATTCAATTTATTCTTCAAGCACAAGCTGACCATATTTATCAATACAATTTTCAATCATTTATTTCTTTCAATTAGATTTCTGGAAACCTAAATCCTTATATTTTCTTTTCATGATAATGATAATAATATGGCCAGCGACTGGTAATAAATTTATATGGCAAGTACAGTATCCGCCAAAATAAATAGTACCGAATATAAAAATTATATCTATTTATTAATTTTTATAATGCATTATGTTCGAAATGTGCACCATAGCGACGCAAACAAGCTTCAAAAGCATTCTGCAAATCATTGAGAGGGGCGTTTAAATAAAATGTCATTTACAGACCTTCACAAATTGCTATTCTATTCCAAATTTAGACCACTTTCCAGTAAAATGAAGTTATGTTCATAACAATAATAGATTAGAGTAAGAGTCGACGCATTTTTGGTTGCAAAATACGCAGTCTAAATAGTAAAATTATTAACAATTTTGTTGACAACAATATGCTAATTTTGGTCAAGGATTTAAATGAAAAAGGGACGAATACCTAGAATAGTACTAGCACACCAACGATAAATTTCCGCAATTTCGGATCGTAAAATGCTGGAATAAATGAAAACTGCAGAATTGCCGAAAATTGATGATGTTTTTATTTCAAAATTAATCAAAATCTGCCAAAAAAGGAGGTGATTGCTATCATTTTCAGCAGAGACTCAAACCAAACGTGTGTTCGGCGATTCTCTTAAAGATGTCGCTAAGTTCGGGAAGGGTAGTCACTTCTTTCAAACGCCAGTAAAAACTGTTTTATCTAGCTAATAAAGTGAAATACTATTATTTTGTTTGCATCTGGATAAAATTATTTAGTTCACTGTATATTACTGTGTAAACGAACTGATATTAAAGATGTCGCCGTCTACTTATAGATAAGTCAATCACTTACAGAGAATTTGCACACCTGTGATTAAAAAATATTTATTGTTGTCATAAAGCCCAAAAGATGGCGCGCTGGCTCTTATCTGACGCCCCTCTTAAACATATTTATAAAGAGTGGTTTTGGCTATTTTTCTGAGACTTCCTTTAAACTACGGCCGTTATTCCTTCCAACTCCGTATGACCGGAAATAGTGCTCTACTAAAAAAAAAATTTCTTCATTTGAAAGAGCCATATTGATGAAGATTTTACCTTTAACGTAATATCAAACTGACAACTAAGCGAAATTCGATAAAAGCAACTTGCGTGCGCAACTGCTCAGAACTCTAGATTTTGGTACGGTTTATTTTGGCGGATAGGTACCGTATGTTGAGGTACATTGGAATATTATCTTTTCTTGAATTTGATGAAACTGATTGAGAGTTAACATCGATTTATTGATTTTATTTAAAGTATTTTACCAGCAATTGAGTTTATTCTTTGAAAATATTCAAGACTTGATTTTTGACCCCACTATGAAAATATATACTAATTCAATTTGAAACTTACTTAATTATTTTATTGGTTTTACCTGTGTCAAGTCAAGATTTGGATGAGATATATGCCGTTTTTATTTCCTTTTCAGAACTACCAATTACCGTTTTCTGATTTTTTTTTTAGGTGTGTTTCTGAATTTTCACACCCCAATATTTTATGTAATTGAATTGATTTTTTTTTTAATTCAGTGGCGCCCTTGCCATTCTGTTCTTATTAATTTATCAACCCACCCCTAATAATTTTTCGCCGAGCATATTATGGGCCTTTTGTTAATTCATTAACAAAAGGGGTTACACTGAACTTATACACCGAGCAGTCGGTAGACATTACGCAGTGTGCTCTGTTGCAATGGGTCTTTCCCACTCAACTGAATTTAAGTATTTCATTCATATGGTTTGGAAGCTTATCCGATAAAATACTTAAAGGGCTATGTGGTTGATTTTTAAAAAAATTATTGAGGGAGATATTAAAGGAAAAAAAAAATGGTAATATTTGAAATGGTCCGCCAGATTTTGCACCAATCAGAACACGCTTAGTTGCCCGATTTACCGGCCGAAGCTGTTCCCTATCGACATGTTTTCTTTCTAGTTGAATGAACAAGATAGAAAAGGAAAAAAAATATCGACATAAATGCGGTTTATCGATTTCTATTCCAGTCTATTTATTTGACAACTGAATTCTAACCTAAAAGGGTACGTTTTGTAAATAAAACATTTTCAAAGAGTGAAGACTGTTGTGTTAAAATCAAAGTTAAAATTGAAAGTGTGGAACAGAGATTCGAAATTGGAAAGGTGAGATTTATTTTGTGTTATTTTTCACCAACAGAACTATATTGTCCAAAGTAGGTTCCTACCTACTTCTACTAAGGTTTATTTTGGTTTTTAGATTAGCAAAAGCAAAAACAGAATATACCCACATAACAAAATTGCATCCTTAGAATGTAATAAGAATGTTCTTTTTTTAGGAGGAATGTGCCTAGAATGTTCGCCAAAACCATTGCGAATGTCCTGAGAATGTTCTGAGAAAATATTGTAGAAATACTGTTTGCAATACCCAAGAACTTCCTGGGAAATCCATTAGGATATTCCTAGAATATACCTATGAGATTCTCAGTACATCCTGGAAATAATATTCCTGTTTGATTCTAAAAAAAAATGCTTGAAATGTATATTTTCACATTCAAAGAATGTTTCTATGACATTATAGTTATGTACTCAAAAGAATATTATACCAATATGCTTGAAATATTCTTAGAATATATCTACATATATCATTCTCAATATGCATCCTAGACATAACATTCTTGTTTGATTCTAGGGATATACTTGGAATGTTAATTTTCGCTTCCAAATAATGCTCCTTTCAGTCCTTTTATATCAAAGGCAGTGAAAGAGTTGTTGGAAAACTGCTCTGGAAAACACAAGTGTTTAACCAAAGCTCCGGTTTCGAGCTTGTTATGCTCTCGTCGCGGTAAGCACGCCAAGTGAGAGAAACAGATTCCAGGGTGATTCAAACGCAAAGCAAGATGTAGATCTTTAATAGCGCGTGGCTGCCTCTCTTGGAAGTCCTACAAAGCAAAAGAAAAAGAATATACCTATAATAT